AAGAGTTAAATGCTCCCTTCCTCAGTGCCACTGCCACTGCCTCAATCCACATAACCCCTCTCCCTGGAGCTAAATTACATCTAGCTACATCTAGATACAGCTAGATTACATCTAGGACTTGTATATGTGTAGTTTGGACTTTTGTCTGAACAACAGATGTGTTGCAGTGATTCCTCTCTGTAAAATTTTAAACAAATCAACATAGTTGAGACTGAAAATGAGCAAAACTTGGCAGTCCATTGGGAATGTGGAGTGGAGCCATGGAGATTCATAATGTGTTGGCCAAGCTACATGTGGTAATTCCTTCTCACCATTACGGGCCAAACTGGGCAGTATCCCTCTGACAATGATAATGTAGCCTCTGCTGCTACTACGCTCTCGCTCCACAGACAGGAAGAGGAAATACCTTAGGGGACTCCATTGTGGGATTAGAATGGCCATCTGTAGTTGCTGGCCAGGAAAGAATTGGGCTTCTTTAAGGATTATAATTATTAGAGGAAAGCTCTGGAACCATTCCCACATTTAGTTTTGAAAAGTCTGGATGTTACCATCTCGGTTTGGCCCCAGGAGATATTTGTCTGATGAGGGATATCCACACTACAGATTTAAACTGGTTTAGCTATCATTCACAAATCCTTTCACTTGCCCCAGCCCACAGAACCGTAAAGGGAAGTTTCTGTATACCCTAAAAACTCAATAAAATGTATTTGTAATAATAATAAAAAAGAACTGTAAAGAGAAGCCAGGAATCTCTGACAGAGAATTCTTGGGATCTCACGAAAAACAAATCCCTGTGGTTTTGAAGGGAAGCCACAACAGCTGATGTGATATAAAACAGACATAAATTTACTTTGTAGATCAGGCCAAAGAATCCTCATGGGAAAATGGCAACGCCAGCATTTAACACTTCAAAACTATTATTTTCGTGTTGTTGCCATCAAGTCACAGCTGACGTGGTGACCCCCTGGGGTCTTCAAGGCACAAGAGATGTTCAGAGGTGGTTTGCCATTTCCGGCCTCTGCATCATGACCCTGGTATTCCTTGGTGGTCTCCCTTCCAAATACTAGCCGGGGCTGACCCTGCTTAGATTCTGAGATCTGATGAGATCCTGCTAGCCTGGGCTATCCAGGTTGGGTATTATTTTCTTAGGACAATAATCATGAGATTTTCACATGGGGCTGTTACAGAAAGAGGGGAAGGTATGGCCAGTGCAATACTAAGCATGTTTACTTGGAAGTAAATTGTGCTAAACTTAATGGGTCTTACTCCATAGTAAGTCAGGTTGCCAATTCTGGGTTGGGGAGTACCTGGAGATTTGGGAGTGGAGCCAGGGCTGGCCTGCGGGTTTTTTGCGCACTAGGCGAGGTTAGCTTGTGGTGCCCCCCAGGCAAGGCTGCCTTGTGGCGCCCCCCCTCACAGATGAGCGGCTCAGATCTCTTAGCCACGCAGGGACCCTTGCAGAGCTTCCAAGGTGCCTAACCTCCCAGTGGCATTGCCGGTCCCTTGAAACCGAGTCGCGGGAGGGAAGGGGATGCCACCAGAGGTGGCCAAGACTGGGAGCAGGGAAGTTCCCCCGCAGGGCTTCGTTACTTCAGGGATGCCCCGCTGCCTTCCAGAATGCCCCTCCAATGCCCCCCGGTGGGGACAAAGAGGGACCTGGCAGCCCGGTGTGATACGAAGTTCTTCCCCCCCGTTTGCCCTTTGGCTTCCCAGTGTGGTTGTTGCTGCTCTCTCTGGGTTAGCCTTTGGGGATGCCCTGCTACCTTCCAGCCCATGTCTGGTGTCCTTTCCCTGCTAACCCGAGAATCCACCCCCCCCGGGACTTCTGTTTCTTTAAGGGCGTGGATTTGTGTTCCGATGCGGGTCACGCCCTCCCTCACCCCATTCGCTTCTCCTCCTGCTTGCTTGCCTGCCTCCCTCCAATTCGCTTTTCTGGCCTAGGGGGAAGACAGTCCCGGCGTCGGAAGGGGGATGATCTTGGCTGGCCCAGGTTATGCCTGCATGCCTGCTGTCGCTGGGGTGTTGTGGTGGGCCCAGAGGTGCCAAGCTTCGCCACTGTCTTGGCCCCGCATCATCCTTGGCGAGCCGTGCCCTTTCCCTAAACTTTGATGGAGCCTTGGCGGGGGCGCGAGGTGAAGCGAGCCAGAGGGAAGGGGTGCACTGTGGAGCGGGGGCCCAGAAAGCCATGCTGGGGGTGGGCGGCGGTGGCAGGAGCCTCGCTGCGCCCCTCAGAGAACTGCGCCCTAGGCCGTCGCCCTAGTTGGCCTAGTGGAAGAGCTGGCCCTGAGTGGAGCTTGGCCTGACAACCAGCGGGAGACCAGGGGGGCAGAAACATGGGAGGCAGCTATTGGTGATAGTTTCTGTGAACCGCAAACACCACCATATATGGAAAAGTAGTTACAATAAAAAAGGGCTTAATATTTAATCCAAACAGATCAACATGAAACAAAAAGGTGGTCAAAGCTGGATCACAGAACAAAATGTACTGTATGGTACACCTCTGAGAAGTGAGAATGGTACCAACTATTCATGCACCAAGTTCAAACTGTAAGGACACCAAAACAGCTGTGCTTGGTTTGGGACCCACGTACATGAAGGACCTCCTACTCCCTTATGAACTCACCTTTTAGGGTTGCCAGCTTCCAGGTGGTGGCTGGAGATGTCCCAGAATTACAGCTGATCTCCAGGCGACAAAGATAGTTCCCCTGGAGAAAACGACTGCTTTGGAAGGTGGACTCTAAGGCATTATACCCTGCTGAGGTCACTCCCCTGACCAAACCCAACCCTCTCAAGGCTCTTCCCCCAAATCTACAGGAATTTCCAAGTGTAAAGTTGGCAACCCTACTGCCCAACCACCATGGCCTCGACTCAGGCCCTGTGTAGTTCAGCTCTGAGAAGTGAGAATGGTATCATATATTCATGCACCAAGTCCAAACTGTAAGGACACCAGGACAGCTGTGCTTGGTGGCTGCTCTCTTTGGCTGCAATCTATTCTGTGGTTCCAGCTGATCCCAGGGAGGCTGTAAAAACCTTAACTGGTGCCTGAAGGCCTTCTGAAATTAGGTGAGTGGCAACCCAGGAGAGGGCACCAAAGCTCTCTCCCCAGGAGGAGTTGTCTGTCCCCTTCTGTTGCCATCTTTCATCAACAGGTAACAATTTTCTGTTTCATTTGGCATTGCCGCAGTGATCCTGATCTTAATAGTTGTTTTGTACATATTTTAACTTTTAACTTTTAATTGTT